AATTGAAATTGAATTCTATACTCTCAGACAGAAGGAAAAATATGATGTCCAAACATTTGTCTAAAATCTTAAAAACAAATGAAGATTTTACATGTTTTTAGTAATTAATACAGGTTTTAGACTAAGACTCCTTTAACATTAAGTTAGTGTTTACTAACTTAATGTTAGTAGCACCAGAGATAATATAATAGCAACTCAATGTATTCAAATATGACAACGTGGTCAAGATGTCAGAATAGGTGAGAAGGGGAATGATCAAAGTGACTTTGAATGGCTGGTGAACCCAGAAGGGCTGGCTCTGAGTATTTCAGAAACAGGTGATTTACTGGGATTTTCCTGTCCCACCATCTCTTGGGTTTACAGAGAATCATCTGAAAAAGAGAGAATTCTGTAGCAGCAGACGAGCACACCGCTCCTGTCAGCTAACAGCAGCAAACTGAGCCTAGAGCTCACACAGGCTCACAAACGGTGGAAAATAAAAGACTGGAAAAATATTGCTTGGCGTGATGGGTCTCGATTTCTTCTGCAACGTTCAGAATTTGGTGTGGCATGAAGACATGGATCCATATCGTCTTGTAGCAACGGTTCAAGTAACTGAGCGTACGATCTTCTGATGACTGCTTACAGAGAGATAACACACCATGTCACGCAGATTCAGACAAACTGCTTCCTTGATGTATCGATATAGTAAATGGTACTTATATAGTGCTCTTGTCTAACATCCATGAAAAGAACACAGTATGAAAAGATACAGTTAATTAAAAAGTAACTCCCTAACATGCAATATTTAATTATAAAGTATTAGAGAACACAAATCAACAAAAGGTAAAACAGTAAAAGTAGCTCCAAACACACTTAAGTGCAGTATTAATTCATTAAAAAAAAACCCAAAACTTGTCTATGTAAAATGATGATTAATCATGGTGTTGAGCAACTAGGCTACGTACAGAGGGCACAGCTGGATTGCAACAGAAATGTTCTGTTGTAACCTGATGGCGTATTTTGCCAGCAGTCCTACAGGAAGTAATTATCTTTAAAAAGTTCATAGCATGTTTTTTTTTTTGAAGGAGTCACATAACATGACTCAGTTTCAGATCATTCTGTGGAGTACATTCTTTCAAAAGCTTAGCATTTTTTTAAACAAAAAAGATTGACATTGTAGAAAGAGTTGAACCAGAGCCATCCATAATTGAGTGAAAAAAGTAATTTGTGGGGGTGAGGACAGGCAGGGACAGTTTTAAATATAAAGCTGTTGGTGTTGGATATATCGGAAATAATTAGTTGCATTTATTGTGTGATAGATGAATGCTAACAAGTTTAAATATCTCAATAAATCTTATATAAACAGTGGACCCATTATGCCCCCAAATCTCCACCCCCCTGTGTCAGCTCCAAAACAGACAAAAAACAAACTAAAAACCAGCAAAAACCGATTTAAACATAAAAAACAAAATCACAAAGAAAGAACAATACAGTATCCACATCTCCACCACAGAGTAAAACAGTGCAATGTGGATTATTAAACATTAGGGCTCTCTCTTCCAAGTCTCTGTTAGTAGCCTACAGCGGTCCCCAACACCGGTACGGGGACCGTGGTACGGGGTACGGGGCCGTGAGAGTTGAGGTTCGGGTGTGAAACTTATGGTTTTCAGGGTTTTTATCTTTAACTCATTTTCCCTGGGTCTTTTCCCATGTTGTAGTTGTGTGTCTTATTTTGAAAGAAATATTTACGTGTTACCATAGTGACCAGAAAGCATTAAGGGGCAGAGAGGAGGACGTTACTCTCAATGTTGTTGGTGCATTTAAGGAGGACGCTGCTAATAAAGTTACACAGTGAATTTGCGTTTATTGTTATATTTACAAAGTACCAATACAGTTTTTGTCTTGGTCGTATCATTTTATGTTGTTGTATTTATCCGCGACACCTTAAAGGCCGGTCCATGAAAATATTGTCTGACATTAAACCGGTCCGTGATGCAAAAAAGGGTGGGGACTGCTGTGTTAGTACATGAGTTAATAACTTGATCAACAAATCGATTTACTCTGCCTTATAGAAACCTGCTTACAGCAGGATGATTATGTTAGCTTAAATGCATCAACACCCCCAAATCACAATAACTATCAGAATCCTCAAAGCATAGGTTGAGGACGTGGTGTGGCAGCAATTTTCCACACCAGGCTATTAATCAACCAAAGACCAAGACAGACATAATTCATTTGAAAGCCTGATGCTTGTCCACCCTAGCTAGAAAACACAAAAACAGGCTTATTTGTTATTATTTATCATCCACCTGGGACTTACACAGAGTTTTTGTCTGATTTCTCAGACTTTTTATCTGATTTAGTGCTCAGCTCAGGAAAAAAAATTATTGTGGAAAATTTTAACATTCATGTAGATCAGGGGTGGGCAACTCCAGGCCTCGAGGGCCTGTGTCCCTGCAGGTTTTAGATGTGTCCTTGAACCAACACAGCTGATTTAAATGGCTAAATTAGCTCCTCAACATGTCCTGAAGTTTTCCAGAGGCCTGGTAACGAACAAATCATGTGATTCAGGTGCCAAAAATATTGGACAAACTCCTGTAAATGGTTCCCATGAAGCTAATATCGGTGTGTCGTTTGTCTCTGTTTTGATCATTTCAGTAGTTTTTCTGTTGCTTTTTGGTTATTTTTTTTGTTTTGTTTTGCCGTTGTTTAGGGACCCTTTGAGGTCATTTTATATCCATTTTTTAGGCATTTAGTCCCATTTTATAACAGTTTTCCATCCCTCTCATTGTGGTCTTTTGATTGATTCTCAGAGAAGAAGATTTGGCCCAGAGGTTTAGTTATTTTCACTCATGACACTAAAATAAAAAAACAACAAAAAACCTCTGCCTGTTTCTGACTCCACACTGCTATTGTTAGAAAAACTCAGTTCTGTTTGCTGTTAGGCGTTGTTTCTTAGTGTTTCAGTATGCAGAGCATTTTAAAGTGCGTGGGTCTGGGAGGGGAGGCTGTGTAAATACAACAGTGATCAGTAGTGGGCATGGTTTTTTTGTGGGTGCTAGGCTCTAGCAGAAAATGAAAAACAGCAACAACAAAAGAGTGATTAGGAGGTAAGACTGTCTACATTAGCCTACTTATTTAGCTTAAAGCATGGTTGTTATGGGAACACTGCAACTAAAAAAATATTATTTCATCACTTGTGTTTACACATTAGTTTAGGGTTTATTCTTCTTCAGATACCAACTTCTATTCAAGAAAAATAATAATACAGTATAAGAGGATAAAGTAATCTAAAACTCAACATTTTGCTGACTAATGACAACTTTTGATTAATTCAGTACATGTTGTTTTGGCAGTAAACATAAGCAGGAACATAAAAGGAGGAAACGTGACACTTCAGCAGAGATCCACCCAGTCGTTATCCACACCTGAGGGGACTCAAGCCGGTGCATCAATGAAATCCTCCCATTCTCCCTGCAAAGCTCTCAGACCACAAGGACAAACTGTCTCAACGTAAGTAACAAGTAATATTTCAAAGTTTAAGGGTGGGTAGAAAAGAGTGAGGCAACACATGAATCATGCAAATTAGAATCAAGTGCAGCAGATATCTGAAACAATCTTTCAAAAGTTAATACAAGTGGCAAAAACGTTATGTTTGTCCATGTCCAGCCAATGTTTAAAAAGAAAATAGCCACAGGAAATTTCAAAATCTGACCATTGTTTTCATCTAAGAAACAGCTGCAGAATTTCATCCACTGGATAAATTGCATTTTACATTGCATCAACTCTGACTAAAAGTGGGTCAAATTTCTTAATCGAAAAACTTCGTCAGTGTTTCGTCTAATGACGTTATGGTAATTCTAGTTGCACAGTTTTGTGGAATTCCATTTTAAGCCTTTGACAGCACTGACGTATACAGCTAGGTTCAGACAGTCACCAAGGGGCAATAGAGTTACACTGTTTCAAAAACATTCATGTATTTGACGCTTCCTTTACCCTTGATTCAGCTGCCTCATGCCCGCATCGAGTTCATGCCTATCCCACGCACTGGGTGAGATATCGCATATACCGTGGACGGCCCGCATATTTACCTCCACAGCTGCTATAGAAACACCATTCAACCTGCAAAGCAGGTCTTTGAACAAGTTCAAGATTAAAACCTTCTTGCTGCAAAGCGACTTTTGCACCACAGTCTCCACTCCTATCAACTCCAACCAGTTGTGACAGATAGCCGCTCCTCCCTGAGCCTCCTTCTGCTGGAGGTTTCTTCCTGTTAAAAAGGTTTTTTTTCCTTCCCACTGTCACCAAGTGCTTGCTCATATTGTGGGTCATGTGATTGTTGGGGTTTTCTCTCATTATTGTAGGGTCTTTATCCTACAAGGCAACTTTTGTTGTGGTTTGGTGTTATATGAATAAAATGGAGATGAATTGAACCACAGTGCTGTGAGGCTTCTCGTTATATTGGCTAACTCGTACTCATACCCCAAGTTGGGCCACACGTCTATTGTCTAATCTTCTGTGAGAACGAATAAGTTGGATTTTTTTCATCACACTGCAACCTGCTATCACAAACAGTTTTTAGACTCTGACACATTCATGCACACACATCAGGAGGGACTTAGGGTTGGTGTCTTGCCCAAGGACACTTCCACATACATACATACATACATACAGACCGCAAGGAGCTGGGGATCAAACCTCTGACCCTCTAAATAGTTGCAAACCTGCTCTAAATTCTGGGGGGAAAAGGTAAAAATCATAAGTGAACATGTCAAATTTTGGTATTTATCCTCCAAGATAACGGAAGGAGAAAACTATCAGGATCAATTTGAATGATTTAAATGTGCTACCTGTTTCTAAGCAGAAGAACAAAACGTCCCTTCACCATCTGAACATGTTAAGTGTAGCCTCCAGGAAGCAATTCTGGAATTCACAGAAGTTGTGCATGAATGAGAGTGCTTTCATCATTACCATGAGTGGGTGGAGGCAGTGCTACAAAACGGCCTGCCCTCATCCTCACTCCCCCTTTTATTTCAGCAGCACGCTGCAATCTCAGAGTTCTCCTTTAAGTGCTTTTTCCTCCCCTGCTCTCGCTGCAGCTCTGCGTGGATTACAGCAGTCATGTTAAGAAACTCGGTTTTCTCCTGCTTTGTTTTCTACGGCGTGCTGCTGGTGTTAAAGATGTACATAATAGCCGTCATAACGGGACAAATAAGACTGCGTAAAAAGGTGAGTGAGCTCCTTTAGATGCAGCTTGAAGTTAAATGCTGTGTAAGTTTTTCTTCTTCCTGTTTGTTCTCTGGTGGAAAGCTTTTTTGTTTTTTTGTTTTTTCGCTTCTTCCCTGAAAGGCTTTTGCCAACCCCGAGGACGCGCTCAGACACGGAGGTTTACAGTATCACAGAGAAGATCCATATGTGGAAAGATGCCGGAGGTGAGCGTGCAGACGGGGTATTTTTTTGTAAGACTAGACTGCTTGTGTTTAGGGGGATGCAGTGGGAGGGGGGGGGATCGCAGGAGGATAATTTTGGATTGGATTAAAAAAACCCAAGAACAAATAAACTCCCTTGTATTTGCTGCTTATGGCAAGTATTAGTTATACTATGCATTCCCATTGCATAGCTTTTACTTTTTGATTTAAAAAGAAATTCAATACATTGCATGAAAACTGGTTCACTCGGGTAGATTTCAAATGCGCACAGCATTGAAGTACTCGAGTAAAATACCCTTGCATCGTAAAATGAAAAATTTCCTACAGAATATGAATGACGTACCGCAGGTTTTCTCCCGCACAGATATCTGTCGCAGACCCGATAAAGTGTAGATTTATTTCCAGCGGATTTGTTCTCTTTTCTTAGAACGTGTAGGCTACTCCTCCACTGATGTTTCAGTAGCTTGTAGCACTGTGTGCGACAGATTTGTTTAAACTTGTCAGAATATGATCTGAGACAGGGGAGAGCAGATGTTTTTCTTACTAGTAAAACGTTCCCCTCTGTCTGTCCTGAAATGTTTTTTTCTGTTTTGTTTTTTTTTCCCTGAGAGCTTGTGGTGGGAATCAACTCTGCACCAGGGGGAAAAAACATTTAAAACTTCCATTAATAACTAATAAAAATGGCTGCAGCATGAAGCATTCCATGTCCAACCTTAATCATGTCTTTTATGTGCCCTTTTTTGTTTGTTTTCTGGGCAAAAAGGGATTATGATGGCAAGTGTCCTACAACAATATTGTTTAAAAAGCTGCTCCAAGTGGGTGGAGGGGAAACAGGAAAGAGGTGATTAGAGAAGGTTGCAGAGCCCTTGCTTTGGCTTGAGATGTGCTAGTGTGGGTTAAATGCATATTGTTTTAGTCACCCTGAATATACATCTTCCAGGAATATCACAGGAAATCATTACCCCGAATCATAGTCACTCATGCGATGTAGTCACTTTACTGCATCATAGGTAGCTGAGTCACACAACTGTGGAAAACAGTTGTGTGTCAGCCTCCGTGTACTGACTTCTGTCTTTCTTTTCAGAGCTCATATTAATGACATGGAGAACATCTTCCCTTTTCTCTTCTTGGGCGCCATCTACTCCATGACTGGACCTTCACTGTGGGTGGCACGGCTTCACTTCCTCGTCTTCTTCATCTGCCGTGTGCTGCACAGCTTTGCCTACCTGCTGGCCCTGCAAGCACCGACCCGGTCCGTGGCCTACACTGTTGCTCAGATTCCCTGTGTGTCCATGGCCGTGCAGATCCTGATGGCAGTCATATCATACGCCTAAAAAAAACGAATAAATCAAAAACAAAATAAATCCAGGAACAAGGGACTGAACTAAAGGCTGTGATCTGAGACTCAAGACGGCTCAATATGTGTGACCTGTGTCAGAAAGTAGTGGGAGAAGGATTCTTGATGCACTTCCTGTAAAGACAAGTGGAAGTGCAATACAAGGTCTTTGATAACACCAGTGCTGGGTTTTGAGATTGATTATCAGTATTTTTTTTCTTCTTTTTGGCAAAGTTTGAAATATAACAGTGTCTTATTAAGATATCTGAAGTTTTCCACCTCTGCGCTCAGCTTTGGCCACTGATCTTTTGTGTTTACACAAACCATAGACCACTATTCATGTATTGTCATGCCACCCCATGCTTTTGTTTCCTTGTGGATGGATGCATGTGCCTGTGTCTGTTCAACAACAGCATGATGGTTCCTGGTATGATGATTGATATGCTGAAAGTTTAAATATACTTGATGCTCTGTGTGTGTGTGTGAGTGAGAGAGAAACGGGTTCAGAGTACACGCCTTGCAACAACCTTCTGAGGGATTTTCTAGCGTATAATTGTGTGTAAATGTATCTGTGAAGGCACTTGGTGAGTTTTGTAATTTATTCAATTTAATGTTTTTGAAAGGAAAACTTGTAGACAATAAAAACTATGCACATCTAAGCACACCCAGCCTCTACCTTCACTTTGTGCTAAATGAGTTCTTTTAGACAGCCTTGTGCTGCAGAATTGGTATGTTCTGGGGATAGGGGGCCCCACTTTATGTGCGAGAGTGAGATGATTCAAAAGGCACCAGCAGAGTTCCAGCATTCCTTTGATTGTTATGTAAGACCTTCTGCTATGCTGTGCTCATTTTCCCTTTCTTTTTTTTTTTTTCACCCTGAGGCCAGGAGGGAGGTGCTGGAAGGCCATATAGAAATATTTACAGAAGGTGCCCAATCATGCTTCCACACTGAGGAAAATTAAAGTTTGTGCGCCAACATAATGTTTTTCCATCAGTGATTACGCTTGATTTGGCTTTTATCACTCTGGCGTGAAACTTTTTGCCCAATTCTCAGATGATGTAATTTCGTTTCCAGTGGATTTTTTTTATTTATTTATTTTTTCCCAACCCAGTGATCATGACTAAGCTCGAACTTACAGGAGCTCAGGTGTTTTTGTGATTTTAAACAAAATGACTGACGAGGTGGGAGGACGGGGAAAATCCTTGGCTTTTAATAACAGAGCATTAACAATATGTGTAATCTGGTTGAACCATAAAGCTGGCATGCCAGTAACAGGGGTGTGTCTGTATCCTTGCATGCGTCAGTGTTGTCATAGTCTCAACGTGCCCCCCAGCCCTCAAGGGTAAAATGAAAAGTGGTTGCTGACCTCCTACCTACACTTTTCACTGTAATACATAATTTCCCCTAGGGATTAATAAAGTATTCTGATTCTGAATAAGATCAGTGTGAAGTTAAATGTTTTTCGTTTCCCATGCATGCTGTTTTTTTTTTGTTTTGTTTTTTTTAAACTTCTGGATTGGAGGAAAACTCTGACAAAAGCTCTGTTTTCGCTGCTGTTCGCTGTTAAGGGAGATCAGTTTACTTTGGACCAAACTTTCTTTTGAGAAGTGCAGGCTCTCCTGTGGGAGATTACTAAAATGACCAGTTTGGTTTTTAAAGCTACACAAATATTTACCCCCACCTTGTGGACACACACAGAGCACTTCTCAGCCAGATCTTTTCAGCTTTCACTCTTCAACCAAATGGCATCTTTAAATTTTTGACTTTTAAATTTGTCTAGTAACAGTACATAGGCATAAAATAATAGTTCACACCAGCTAAATAATTATCTAACACTCTTCTAACACCACAGAATCTAAACTTTGCTAACTATGATGTTCCACTGTATTTCAGTTAATTAAACTGATTTATTTAACTTTACATATTAATGTCAATATAGGAAACATGTGGGCCTGAAAGGGCCCAATGCACAGTAACTTCAGAAAACACATGCAAACATAGTGTAAAAGCACACAAAACACAACGGAAGTTAAATAAAACACAATGGAAGGAGAAAAAACATTGCTCACAAAAAAGGGGGATTTTGAGGAGACAATAATGTGACGGACCAGCTGCGGAATGGGCAAGCTAACAGTAAACAGCTAATAGAAAACATCTATTTGCAGTATTATATGAACTATGTGATTAAAATACAATTATGTTTCACTTTTTTCTGAGTCACAAATGAATTGCACGCTTCTTTTAATCATGTCTCTACTCAGTCCTTCGCATGTTTTGGTTTCTGTCGCTTCTGCAGCTGTTCTGTCACATTAATGTTCCCCGGAAACACTTCCGCTGTGTTTTGTGTTCTTTCATAGCGTTTTCCTGCTAGTGTTTTGTGAGTTTTTCTCTCAGATTCACTGTAGTCATAACCAAAAAATGCAGAGATTTTGGTCTGTGTTGGTATGACGGTATCACACAGCTGCTGCAGATTTGTCAGATGTGACTCCATGATATGAATCTCCCCTTTATGACATGGCATGCTCTCCTGTTGGAATCAGCCATCAGAAGATGGGTACCCTGTGGTTATAAAGTAGTGATGTGCGATACCACTGATTTCCTTTCCGATCCGATACCAAGTAATATTCAGGGTGGTATCGACGATACTGATCCGATACCGATACTTTGTACAAAAACTTATTTTATTTATTGTATCTCAAATTATAGCATCATAATGATTACAGGACATCAGATTACTTGTTCTT